TAGCAGACGTATCAAATCCAAACAAAATCTTCTCCGTTGCGATGCATGTCTTCAATGCGTATTACAATCTAATGACAGCAGTTATAAGGGAGACTGAAGACCTATTATATTTAATATTGTAGGTGAAGAATAATCAGTAAGCTCATGAATGGCGCATAAGTGTCACCGTTCATACTGACATGGACTGCAATCTGATTTTTAATCCATACGTGTAACGTGTGATCTTTACCGCATTACTGCCTGCGTCAGCCAATATTAAAGCCACAGCGTAAACTTAAACATGCCAGCAACAGTGCCGAGATTCAGGTGTAGGGATAAGCTCAGTAATAATTCAGTAAAACCGAGGTATTACCGGCTTCAACTTAACCGCAAATTAGTTTCAATTTAAACCGGTATGGACTGAATTACAAAGTAATTTTAATTTATGTAGGCATGGACCAATTTGTAGTAGAATGGACGCATTTCCACTTTGGCCTATACAAAACATCATATAATTGAACATATTAGCAGATGCGAATAAATGCTGTAAAGTAGTAGTGTCGTTCTTAAGACTGAAATTTCATGGGAGCGGCAGAAAAGAAAAGAACAGCATCATAACAACTGTCCGCAAATTAATTACGTTCCTTACCAAACACAAAAACTGGGCTTTTCAATTTAAGACATGTCGATTCGCGCAACATAGTCTTGCCTACGGATCGACACACAACCAGAAAGTCAGCGACGAGGCTGTCCAATGTGACGGAAGACCAAGAATACGGTCTTTTAGAATTCTTCGCAGAAATGTCTTGAACTTCGAAGAACTTCAGCGCAACAAGTATCTCCATGGCGCATTCGCTCGGCTATAACACTCATGTAACTAACATAACATTGAAGTAGGCGAGAAAACTTCACTGAACTGTGGTGGAATGTAAGCGGGCAGACGCTGTCTTCATGTCTAAAGATATAAAATTTGAATCACACAGAGGAAACGGGACAAATGTAGTTCACGCTTACCGGAGAGATTTACATCTGGCACCAACAATCGCCAGTCAGAAAATATGAACTTTGTGTGTGCGAACTCGTACGACGAGCTACTGGACACAGAAGAGAGTGAACCGCCTGCCTCGTTCACCGCGTCATTACTACTAGACAATAGTGGTTCGTCCTTGAGAGGAACCTCGTCGTGCATGATCGATCTAACAGAATGAAAATCAGGTTGCTTCGCATTGATAACAATTCCACCACTGTAACGGTTACAACATCTGCAGTTCTTTAAACAAACTAAGATCGGCAGTACCATCAAACAAAACCAGCAAGGTACGGTAGCATCGCGTTAATCGTTGTTATCACTTACTTCAGAAGACCGTCCAAGTTCGCCCGAAAAAGTGACGATGTGTGCCTCAGAGTTAAGGAACCGACGAGTCGCCGGAACTTTTTGAGTGTGAAGTCGCCGTTGAAATGTCTGAACATGTAGAAGGCAACTGAAATGCTGACAAGCTAAATTTTGCAATGAGAGACGATACTTGAGGCTGGGGTTGACGTCAGCTTCGTTTTTTCTCCCTTTCAAAATCATATCGTCAAGCATCCGTTGGCACTCCAAAGAAGTCATCAATGTTTTGTTCTCACAGTAGAACCGATATATGTAGTCGATTCGAAAGCGATGGTTGGGAGTTCGTTTGTCCAATGCCACCAGACCAAGGACGAAGTCAGACAAAGTGATGACGCCGCTACCGTTAACGTCGAAGGCCCTGAACTGCTCGATTTAACTTAATATAACTTTGAATGTTAAAGAAAGATAATCAGACCACTAGGATTAATCATTATTAAAAACTACATTTTTTAGACTCTTCTACTCATGTGTTTAGGTGGAGTTATCGAACTAGCTGTCAAGGATGCGGAAATGTGCTTTAGATACCGACAAGCTGCACTGATTAGACGTCTCTAAACTGTTTCTCACTAGCTATCTGAGTCGAATTAGCAACTGCTTCGTAAACCTATTTTCGACACCGTAGAAAGAAATATAAATTCTAAGTCCACACGGTCATTCACCATGTTAATTTCAATTACACAGTTACAATATTTTTAATGAAATTTAGTCGTCCAAATTAACGTGAAAAGTCATGATGAGTTACACTTCAACAATTAAACAAATATAATTTAAAGTATTTAAATGAAGTGACAAATTCAAGTCAGCCATTGACTCCAGGCAATGACGTAGTAATAAGGTAAGTATCCCAGAATCTTTTAGATGCCAGCTTTCAACTTCGGTACGTATTTGTACGAAAGTTGGGCAGTAGTGCGAATGGTTAGTAGGCTGATTTGCACTAGGGTGCCGGGTTCAAAGCCATCGAACAGACTGCTAATTCCATTGAGAAAAGTTTTAGCCCGTTGTGCTCAGGTGCAACTTGCCCGTAGATAAAAAGGTAGTTGATCGTTAACCTACGAATATAATGGGCAACAGTGTTCTTCTGTGTGATCATATCAAAAACGATTAGGTACATGACATGCCGCTGACTGACTGATACATGTGCTTTACGGCTTTTAAATTTAAAAAGACTGAAGCGATTAACGCAAAATGGAAAAATTTTATGATAACTGTTCATCTACTCAGTTCTCTTCTGATACGATTTTTTGACCAATTGGATCAATGGTTGCTTTCAGAATGTCGTTAGATATAAGAGCGTTGTCATGCATGAGATTCTCTAAGATACATACTAAAAACTTAGGTAGCGGCTTTCTGTTCAGTTTATTTCTTCTGTCCTCGCTGAATAACCGAAAATTTTATACTACTGTCCAGGAGACTATGGAAATAGTTATTAACTCGTTCATTAATATACACTATCCTACATGTATGTAAAATATTTTGTTTACTAATTCTATAGCCACTACTCGTTTCGGGAGTGATACGGACAGAAGCTTCTGGAAGATCTTCTCAATCATGCCCGCCCTAAAGCAGTTAGGCAAGCTCCGTTGTATAAGATAAAATCTACTGTATTCCAATGTGGCTGTTCAATATGCTGAACACATCCTCGGTTTGGCTCTTGGCAGCGTCCCATGTGGCTTGGAAAAATTTTTCTTTCTACTGCTTCTCAATCCTGGCATCCTGCTCAAACCATCCTAATTATGATCTCTCGATTGGAAAAAGAATTAGCTCTGAAATAAGGATTCTGGAATGGCATATTTCATATCACGCTGAGCCTTGTAACCCCTCGAAGAAAGGTCATTTATGCCGCTTCTACGTTTCTACGGTCACGCTTTCGGTAAAAAGCCGGCCTTGATGACCAACGATGAGAACAGCCGCGCTAAACTGACTGAGCGAAAGATAGGCTTGCGATAATGCTCAATTCTTTCTTCATCCGCCAAAGTATGTTCAGCCATCACAAAAGTGTTATCACTTTATGTATTTGTTATAATAACTTATCTATGTTATCTACTGAATGCAGCTCATAGATAACCACATTTGGGTAACTGTTTTAGTTCCATCACATATATGTGTGTGACTGACCAGCTCGTGCTTTTCTAAAGATAAAAGCCTGTTTTAGACAGTTTGATCTCATTCCTTTACATTAACATGCCAGTATGATATTACATATTGTTGCTACCTTTTACTACTGCAATATAATGTAAGTACAGTGTTACATACCGGTGTCTTTTCCACCCATTTAATAATCTCATTTAACAAATTTCATTAATTTAATTTGTGCCGTTGATCAGCGATGTAGAACTGCCTTAAATCTGTACGACATTAGCCGATTCGCACAAAATATTCAAGCGCTTGTAGGGCATATTAATATATTACTTACAATATTTACTATGAAGTCGTTGCTCTTGTTTTTCATAATCTGTTACTCAAACAAATATAGCAAAGGGTTCATTTAATACAACGCGATTACATATGAAGATTATCAAAGTGGCCAAATTATCTTTGTGGACATAAACACATAGAATCACCAATTAAAAATATGAATAGGGCCCTGGAGGTAAAAATCAAAACATCGGTAACCATTACATTGCATTGTTTTAGCAAATGGTACTTTATTTTAGTTCACAAGAGAACAGGGGCGAGCAGAAGGACAAGAGAAAAAATATCATATAAATAATGATGTAATAAAGCACCTGAAGTACTGGGCGAAATTTTCCAAATCAATGCCAATCGAATCCATAAAGTCAGCGAAATCGCTCGCTGTCATCTTCGTATTCGGCCAAGTGTACTGCGTGAACAAATCAGCGATATGCGGTATAACTAGAATTACTTTCTTAATGAAATGGCAAGTACGCCCATTAATTTTAATATAAAATTTACGCAATTAAACAGAGGCCCATGAGAATCATTTTGAAGGACACTTCGTCTGTCAAGGCACTAGCAAAAGTACCAGAAGAACTAAAACTACTTTCACATACATATAACAGTTACCTACAACTAGTGTTTTAGAGAACAGTGGTAATGCATATTTTAAAATTCAGCTCAGTTTTGCTGAGCAATGTTTTAAGAACTCTTGATGTTCCGGTGTCTACGCTGCCACGAAGTTACGGATTAAAATGATACTCCGTCATGCACAGATTAGAAATTGAGTTTTTTTACGCCAAAGAGGTTTGAAAAGGCAACACTGTTTCAAAAAAAATAACTGTCAGAGTTGAACTTCCGCTAAACTATGTGCAGCACGTAATTCTGACTGATAGCTTACCCTGTGGTTGGTTCCAACGAGTGTTTCCGATGTCGATGACTACCTCGCGTATGGCATCGCAATCGCATTCGAACAACGAGCCATCAATACCACTGCATGAGTCACTCTCATCCGTCACGGCTGTTGCTAAATCTGTAATTAATCCAACGAAATAGAAAGAAAGCCGACCAAGTTACTGTTCAAAATGCAATGCATAATGTGAAGCTCGAAAGCGGAAACGC